ATCACTATAATTCACTGTTTGCCAGAATGCTTTTGATGTGAATAGTACAACAAAATGAAATTTGTCTAAAATATGAAAAAAGTCAAAATGTAGGCGAGTTGAGAAGGGGCAGTAATTTGTGAATATTTGCAATACAGATGGATGATTTTAATTGTCTTGCGTTTTCTGAGCTGCACGGTTTAGTCACGAAGCTTTTGTTGTGTAATAAGACAACATAATCAGCATTAACTTCAATCTGAAGTGAGCTATCAGGATTTCTTTATCAATGATTCATACATATACTTCCAGTTTAGTGATAAGATATATAATTAGATGAAAGAAACTTCAATGGGTTCACTGATATCTAGGTAAACTGTAGAAGCAGTAATGTAAAGATGGGAAGCCATCATTTCGCTCGTGATCAAACTGAAAGTTTAGATCCTCTATTTGGAAGATACTTTTGTTATCATTAAAGAGGGTGAGTAAGAAGGAACACTCATGGTTCGATCAACAATGTTTTCAGTGATATCAAATTTAAAGTCCAGAATGAGTCAACTAACTAACTGCCATTCCTAGATGTTCCAGTTAGTAGTACCAACGTCGTAAATTGCAGACTCATGTGTACAGGAAGTCAACACACAGTGATCAAATCCGGAAGTACAGTAGCAACAACACAAAAAAGCACAAAGTTACTTGCGTATACACTTTAATCGAAAAGGTAAGAACACACTGCAACACACCAAACTGACGGAGAAATAAAGGAAATTACTTGCTGTATGAACTGAAGAAAAGAAATTACCCGATAAACTTCATCAAAAGGTGCCTATCCCACCCATTATCAACAGATGGATGATCCTACCACACTTAAAGAACATACCAGAGATTATGACAAAACTATTTAGAATTAACATGACCCAGAAACTAACAGATTCCCTTCGAACCATGTTATGCAGACCAAAGGACGCAACAGCCAAAGAGGGTAAACCAAATATTATTTACAAAATCAGCTGTAATAGTTGTGATCAATACTACATTAGAAAAAGTGGTCATGTTTTTCACCTTCATTTACATGAACATCAGCTGGCTGTTAAACGGCATGACATTCCGTCACTCGCATCAATGCGTGTGAACAACTGTAAACATAAACTCAATTGTCAAACTGAAGAAATCTTGGACAGCGGAAACATAAAGAATTCCTAGAAGCTTGGTATTCAAGTCAGTCAGCAATCAACAGATGTATAAATATATAGACACCAATCTATCAACCAATAAGAAAAATTATCAACGATAGAAAGGTCACAGGTCAAGCAGAGGAACAACCAACAGGAAGATCTATACAGTCAACGATACAACAACCAAAGGAAACAACCAGTATCAAACCCATTCATCAGGTCAAACTACTAAATCACTGACGGAAAGATATTGACAGCTCACTTCATACTGAAGTTAGTGCTGATGATGTCGTCTAGCAAGGCGATGAGAACTTTACCACAAGACCATCTAGCTCCGAGAATGCAACAGACCCAACACAGTAACATTTAAATTTCAGCCACTCTTCATTTAGGACTACCAATAAGGACACCTATCAGAAGTAAAGAATCTTGTCGAAGATACAGACATGTTGATAAGTAACTGAGTGGATGCTAGTGTTTGACTGAAGAAATATGTAGGAGGAGAACATGCTGAGTTTATAGTTCATAAATCAGTGTTATTAGTCTCAGACCCAGGGATTAGTTGAAGACAGCCATCGTCAGAAATTTGCTCCAGCAGATATATTGGAGTTGAATCTTGATAGGTTGACGGTAGCTTCGCCGCCTACCTTAGCCGAGAATTTATGGTCCTTAAAATACCAATCAGAAGCAAACACAAGCAATTATTCTTGACATTAGAGATGGTATTTCAGATATATCAATACTGGATTAATTTTAATTGACTTAGCAATGAGGCATTCATCAGACTTCATATTTTTTTTAATGGATAATGACTCGCAAGGAAATCCAGGACGTACGTTTTGTCTCATTTCAGACTCATCAACTTGATGTATTTGTACCCCATGGAGACATGAAGCCAATACGCAACGCTTCACGACAGTTGCCGTTTGATACAAAAATGAAGTCATCAACTACATCAAGACATCCTCATACATGTCATTATATACCAACAGAAACTGATCCGTTTGATGTAAATAACTCAACAGCAGGCAATAGCTAGTTAAAATGTTCATCAGTACTGTTGACTATTTTCGCTTATAAGATCGATACTACTAACAGCTAATAAAGTAGGATAAACAGTGGACTTCACCCCGTATTATAGCTTCATATAACCTCCCTTATCGGTCTAAAGCATGCAAAAGTATATTATTGTTATATGGACTAGTATGATCAAGAGACCATCTGAGATAGTTGTATTTGGCTGACTGTTATTATTGATACATAGTGGTGATAATTTTCTATGCAAGTAAAAAAAATTATTTATTCGTTAATTTAACGTTAGCCAGAAAGTTTTTAAAGTTTAAAGAAAGAACGAGGAATTCCTCTGATAGTCTATCCCATAGTATAACTGCAAAGCATAGTTATTAAAGGTAGAAAAATTAAGAAGGCTCCAAATGTATGAACTCTGTTGCCCTCATAGGATTTGCTGTGTTTCATGGAGCCACTATGTTAGTAATGTTCAGGCTAGTTGTAGAGTGCTAGAAAAAAGAGGTGAATCAGTTGATGAAGTTGCATACCTTCCTAAGCTGAAGTCTCTGAGACGTGTACTATGTGTGTGTACTCACGTTTTTCTTCAACATAGCATCAGTCCGTGAAGTCTATGACTGACAGTCTGAAGTGTGTAAAAGAAGTCAAACTTCCCAGTTAGGATCAGTATAACAACGGAAACTTAGGGTTGGTGGCTTCAAGTGCTATTGGTAAGAAACCATTTCGCTGGCCTAGACTCCTCCATACAGCATCTTCTCACTACCCTTAATCATCTATTTTCATTTCACTATCTTTTGTCTTGATGCTTCTTACTTTAATCCACTGATTGCGAGTTGTGGTTACTTGGACCCTTACGCATTGATACTTGGTAGCATGTTGGTACTGGCTTACTGTTCAAGTAATACCCTTGAAAACAGGAGGTACATTCAAGTAGTTAACTTGTACTCATAGTTTTAACATGCTTAAGTGACTGAGCACATCAAGATGGATATATAACTACAGGGGCACTCAAGCAACAACTACTGTTTCCAGTACCTTGTGTTTTATTGACTCATAGATATATTAGAAGATGAGAGCTTATCCATGACAACGACGAGGATTTTTATGAGGCAGAACTGCATCAAATGCCTAAAATTTTCATGCACGTACCAACAAGCTAAGAAAATAGTTAACTGATTGATTGAGATAGGCAGCAAGGCCATACTGATCATTCAGTGACACAGACTGGAATTCTCAGCTCAGAAACTTCAACCTGATAAGCGCGTGACCTAAAATATTGACTTCCATTGGAAAAACCATGCTGTATTATTTCGTAACTATACGGTGGGTAACAGCACGTCAGTGTCCTTACGCGGTATTTATGTATATTTTATTTATAGGAAAACGTCAACCGACGATTTCAAATGGTTGACGGATTACTTCAATATTTTTTGGGTATGATCACAAAAGTGACCATAGGTGAGAACTGTTGTGGAGTCCAGAATTGGGACAAAAAGGCTCCCTGGTTTTCAATGGTTCTCTCAAACAGAAAACTGAGGTCTCTCTGAAAACAATCACTAAATAATGCGCTAGCGCTGAAAACCTAAGCACAAGATACGCTACTGTTGAAAGAAATAGGTGCTCCAATTTCTAACCGTCAATGTATAGTTAACTGGAGAACAACATACATCAGATACACTAAGGTTCTTACTGAAGGCTGGTACATATTTTGAATAGACATGATTTCAATTTGAAACGCTAAGTTAGTCAGACAACCGTTCGAAGAAAAATAATCGCAGAACCAAGAAGAATATTGATAATAATCAGGATGGAACTGGCTACTTACTATTAGAGGTATGAAGTTAGTTGACAGTTCATAGCTACTCGTATAGTGGAATTTTATTCTTTCTTAAGGATAGTGACACGGACTACAGAGCATAACAACAGAACTCAAGGAGCAGCTATCTGATGTCAGTCACACATGGCGTTTTTAGAGGGTTTTTTTACTTGGTTTAAATTTTCTGAAATTGGTGCTAATAAAAACTCTATCCCTGACAACTGCACTCCATGGAACAAGAGGAGAGTATAGCTTTTAAGATCTACCTCATCTAAGCAATTCTTTGAATAAACAGGTTGGGGTTATCCTTAGTAAACACGTTAGTGATATCACGATCAGCAGAACAACTTCTTTCTTGAACCTTATTATCGGATAGAATTCTCAGGATTATTAGATGATGCATTCGAATGCGTCGTTTGGAATCATCCATCATCTAATACTTTGAACCAAGATGTCAAGTCACTCACTCTATTCACTAAAGCTCAAAAACGCAGAATGTCAATTCCAGCTGAATGACGTGTAGAATTCAGTCTTCGAAATGTTACTGTGTACACCAGAAAGTCAAAATTGACATTCATTAGCTGATTCTTGGGGTTTAGACTTTCTAAAATTAGAGTAGATAAAGATTTCATTTCAACAGAACATACTGTATATTAACAAAGAGGGGGTATTGAGTAAAAATTAACCAAGCTTATGTAAAAATTCCCACCTATTGATTCATGACACTAAAAGGCTCTAGCGTTTGATGCAATGGGCAGTGGAGCCGAGTCTCAGTGAAAGCACCACAACTCACATGGACGCAGGTACGTGCGGCTGATGAGTCCCAAATAGGGCGAAACATATGTCCTGGATTCCATCGATAGCCACCACTAAGCAAATAACATCTGTATTATTTATAAAAATTCAGTCACATATCTTATTGCTACTGTTTACATATTTTCTAATCTTTACTGATCGATATTCAATTTCCCTTTGTTTTGTTTTTAAAACCAATTTTTTCCTGTTAGATTTCAATGATAACCCATCACAAATTGAATGTACAATCATTTTAGAATTTGCGCTAATCAGTCAGAATCGTACATTTAAACCAATTCTAATCAATATCCCTGTAAAAATTCACGATATCAATGATAATATTCCACGTTTCGATCAGTATACAAGTGGTTTAAGATTAGAAGTGAGTGAAGATGTATCATCCACAGTTGATCAATATTACATCCTTTCATCCATATCATCATCGTCACCGCCTTATTGGAAACTGAATCCGTTTAAGACTACTGAAAAACCTTCGATTTACAATAGTAAAAAACGTGAAATTGCTATTTTACCCTTGGCAAAAGATGTCGATTATGGATTGAATGGTACTGTAGCCTACAAACTGGAGGTAAGCTCTACTGATTTTGTTCTTTCCCAATGTAAAGTGATTTTGATTTCTCTACCTATAAAATTATTCATACCAAGTAATTTAGATTGGTAGGAGTATGATTTGCAACAGATAAATCAGTATGATTATAGAGAAAAAGAGCTTCGCACTGTTTCGGAACTCATCAGCTGCATACATCTATCATACCTATTAAAGTTGAACTGTTGACCTCCTTTGCCCTCCGTATACACTCCTTCAGCTCAGTTTTCGTTTGACCTTTGAAATTTTCAACTAAGATTTTCTTTCTCGATGGTCAACTTTAACTTAATAAATAGCATTTTACACCTAACTTTGTAATGTGGAATGTTTCTACAGCTTTTTCTGATAAACTCTTTTTAAGTAAAGTTTATTACTGTAAATTACTACAGCAGGATAAACAAGTGTACTTCATAGTCATATCTTGGTAGACTAGTATTATTGATTTTAGGTAATTATTGATGCAAAGATGAAAATCAATTCAAGTAAGGTTGAAAAATGAGATACAGTACTATCAGAAAGTGCAACAGCTAATAACTAGGTGTGTGTGTGTGGGGGGGGGAAGGTTACGTTAGAGTCTTCTATCTATCAGTTGCTATCCTTTATTCAATTCAAATGTCTTAATGTTATACACACTTTGATCTTATTAGGAGAGATTTTCGCTTGCATACACTACAGTAATAACACAGAATCAAATGTCGAAGAGATTATGTCTCACTCATGAGTATTTTTTTGAATAATGATCATAACAGTTATGGTTACTTGAGTCCAAAAAATTTATATGCTACAGTAGGAATTCTCAGCACTTAATACATCAACAAAATCACTCTCAGAACAATATTTCCAGGTATATCAATAAATGGTAATAACTACTAGCCGTTGTACAAGAAGTGCCTATCGTTCCTCTGTGGCATTGTGGACAACGCCTTGGCGTTTCAAGCGATGGCTACGGGGTCTGAGTCCCAGTGGGAAAAACATCACTCACTGGGGTGCAGGTATATCCAGCTGACGAGTCCCAAATAGGACGAAACGTGCGTCCTGGATTCTTCTACTAGCCACAACCAACCAATTTATCATAATATTTCCAAACAAAATAATTATCACATATGAATAATGTTAATAATAATAATAATATTGTTTAAGGCAATAGTGTGAAACAGTCAGCTGGTGTTCTATTAGCGTCCGGTCAAGAAAGGAGAATGAACAGGAAATCGAGTATAATTCTCGTGGTGACGGTTCATTCTGGTTAGTATTCAACAGATAGAAGAATGATGTGTTTTCGTGAGCTGAAAAGTCCACTTCCATTTAATATGATATTTTTTTCCTTCAGCTAGTTGAAAACATTTCAAAAGATGTGCTGGATATATTTAAATGATTAAAACAAATTGAAGGGGAAGAATTTCATGTTTGCTGGCGTAAGGTTCAAACAGTTAGTTGCATGACTAGTTGATTGATACAATTGAAATGTATGTTCTTAGAAAACATATGCAAGTGCTTTGTTGCTACAAGGAGTTTGTATCTGATATGGCTGACTTCGACAACTGATATTTGTGCCAATCGTGAAGCTGATTAGTTCTGGTTTCGATAGAAGGTAGCAACAAAGGAATGCTGTGTCAAAGTATACGTGCAAAAAATAGAAGATGATTAAATACACATACTAAGAACTAGTGACCAATTAGTGTACTTTATACAGTTGTACAAAAGGTTATTTCCAATTTTTATAGCTTAGTAGTCTGTGACCTCAGAACTGAATGGTGCAGGTTAATAATTACCAAGGGGAAACCAGTTCGCTTATGGTTTCAGGTAACTTCTGCGAGGCGTCCTGTCAGTTGACTCCTACTATTTAATACACCTAATTTCATACCTAGACTAACTTTAAAGGATACCATAGCAAATGCAGAAATGACAAATAAAGCTTCGTTAGTTCGCCTGGTAAAGTACTTTTCCCTAAAACTAAGAGATATGATTGGCAATCTCATCAGTTGCTAGGGTGGCCTCCGTGATGTCAGTTGCACTGTCATCGATGCCGCTTACTCATCTGCTAATCGCCAACGCGGCAAATTTCAGAAAAAATTGTTCTAGTCAGTAGGTCTACCTAGAAAGTTAACTCCTACAGCCTAAATCTTATTCTTATTATTACCACTATCATTATTATTATTTCTCCCGTGGGTTACTAGTGGAACAGTAACACACCTACATCCCCACTCTCTTCTCTACACTCTGTTCAACCTCCCATCACGACTACCAACAACCATTCATTTATTCCTTACACGATCCCCATGTCAACCTCTCCTCGGACACCCAACTCATCGTCTCCCCTTCGGATTCCACTGGACGGCCTGGTCTGGCCTGACGCGTGATGTCCCCAAATGATATTCTCAGTGTATGTCTCATGCAATCCATCTCCACTTTCGTCTGCATATTTGTTGGGTGATGGGTTGTTGGTTCATTCGTTGTCAGTCAGTCAGTCAGTCAGTCAGTCAGTCAGTCAGTCAGTCAGTCAGTCAGTCAGTCAGTCAGTCAGTCAGTCAGCCAGCCAGCCAACCAGCCAGTCAGAGTCACTTCCTTCTTGCTTATTCTCATTATTCTGGCCATCCACCTGATCTTCACTGTCTATATCGAGACAGCGTAGGCGGCAGCTGTTCATGTATGATGTCTGTAGTTTGTTGCAAATGCTTTTCGTGATGCGCCGAGTCTCTCAACCACCACATAGAAGCACTGACTTCACTGAATTGGTGTTGAAAATCCGGATGTTGTTCACGTTTTACGCTGAGCTCAGTGGAATGCAGTGCAGTAGATCTTCACACTGATTTCAGATTGATGAAGGGAGGTCTGTCTTGTTGTCTTTCCGATCGTTGCTGGCTTTGACATCCTCGTCTGTGCCTGTACCGCTGTAGTGCCTGTAGTGGAGACGATATTACCTAGTTAGGTTAAAGAGACAACTTCCTTTAAACCTCTCCCGTTGTTGGGGATTGGTGATAGGTGCCTGTTGCTGCTGTAGTTGGTTGCGTATTTTCATCACCTCCGTCGTCTCCACTCTTACCTGAAAGAAGTCCCGTCTTCGCTGCCCTGACCTGCCCTGCCCTGCATTGCCTCCTCCATAAACTTGTTAGCTTTAGCCTATAGATCTTCCACTTTGTGCAACAAGACATTAGATATAAATCATCATCATTGGCGAAATCCAAATATTCTAGACTCTTCTCTTCCCATCAGTCAAACAGCGTGTACCCATCTCTTCACACCAACTCACAGTTGTCTGCTGCATGATCCAGTCAAGTCCAGTCCAGTACAGTCAACCACAATCAGGAAGATGATCGGTGATAGTAGGCAGCAAACTTGTCCTACTCCTTCCTGTCCACTGTCTTCACTTCAAACACATCACTCACCTTTCCATTGTGTTCTCAATCAATTGACATGTAGCCTCATCACATAACATGTAGTTGCTGTTCAATGAGGTTGATAAGGGTTTGTGGCACTAAAACCGTAGTGTTGAAGCAGCTGTCTGCCAATTTACTTCTCGGTCAATGCTGTCGAAGGCGTTTTCAAAGTGGATGAAATTGAGGTAAATATTCAGTTGACTGTCATTCTATACTCTGTTCTATGATGATGATGTGTAGCGTGGCGTTGTAATTTGATTTGTACATGATTTGTTTTTCTTGAAGTCAGCCAGCCAACCAGTCAGCCTGTTTTGGTCGTAATTTTGAATCAGAAAATAATTGTATTGTGATTTAAAAAGTAACGGGATATAAAAAAATTTTCCAGGTAATAGTCTTCGTTGATTTCAGGTTGGTATTCACCGTGGATTGACATAAGTTAGCGATACAATAGGAACCGAGGCACATTTGACAGCCTAGTATGGGACTTCCTGGGCAGTGCTCACCCATGACCCCACTGGGGATGGAACTCAGAATCTTCAGGTCGCACAGGCAGCACGTTACCGTTACACCATTGCGTCGGAATTTAGTGGCATGAATTTCCTACTTCTGTCGGTTCATGATATTACGTGATCTCCATTCAATGCTGTCACCGAGTAACTGTCCCCATGATTGATGTGGTTGGCATCCACCAGTCATGGCTTCCCATTGAAACTTTGGGAATCACCACTCGAAGCTAGTCGCCAATGAGCACAAGATTAATTCAATTTTTAGTTTTGTGGAGATTTGTTTATTAATAGTAAAAATACTTAATTATTCGCTTATTTACATTCAGCCAATCGGTCTATGCTTAAACAAACTATGGTAAATTCAGTAATCGATGTCACACGTCTAACATACCGATGGGATCACTAATCTTAATGAACTGTAGTAATGCACCCCAAGAATGTTCATTTCTACCTCTGTGTAAGTAGTTGCCCATTCAGCAGTCTTAAAATTTTCATCACCTTTGTTATTTTTCGACTCAATCAACACAAATTTTGTTAAAGTAATGAAAGAATATTGTGTATGTCATCTTTTCATAATAAACATTATACTCCACAGGCTCTAAAACAGCTAAGGAAGATCCTGTGAAAACTTGTATGCTAATTCTGTTTCTGTTGTTCTTTCTGCATCAGTCAGCTTCCTTAAAAGGAAAAGCTTTGTAAAGGTTCTAATTGCTTGACCAACACTACCCTTGTAGTATTATTGATATGGGACTTCAGGTGAATGTAGAGAAGATGGAGGTGATGAAAATACTCAACCAACAACACAATCAACAACAACAAGCACAAATCACCACCAACGGCAGAAACCGAAACAAAGTAGTCTCTTCCACCTAACTAGGCACGAAAACATCGTCTCAACTACAGGCAACACAGGCACACACGAGGATGTCAAAGCCAGCAACGATCGGAAAGACAACAAGACAGACCTCCATTCATTAATCTGAAATCAGTGTGAAGATCTACTACACTGCACTCAGCATAAAACGTGAACAACATCCGGATTTTCAACACCAATTCAGTGAAGTCAGTGCTTCTATGTGGTGGTTGATAGACTTGGCGCATC